CTCTTCCGATCTAATCAAGAGAAAAACATTCTTGACAATAATAGTTCTTGTCATGTACCATTAAGTTGAGATTTTTTAGAAAAATTTCGGCACAATATTTTTGTTCAATTTGTTAACGGGTTTTCATTGATCAAAGAGTTGATAGCAAGGATCGGTCTCGGTGTGGATACGCATAGAGTCTTCGCACTATCGAAGAAAATTTTGAAACAAGACTCTCTTCACCAGGTACGTCTTAGATCCGATCTTTGACAGGTAAATAATTTTTAAACACGAAAAGTTCTGCCTAGGATTGTTATTATCTTCCGCTGCGTGTTACGAACACATATAAGCAATCCTACAGTGGTATCAGAGCCGTGTTTATTGTGTTTAAAATTTATTTACGAAATATTTTAAAGATTATATTTGAAGAGTTCAAACCATAATACATGTGTCTTGTGCAATAATCAAATTGTTTGAATACATATGTATTTATATTATTTTATTGTGAATAAAATATATATACATATAAGTTAACTATTGTGATAGTTTGTACTTTATATTTAAAAATTTTGTATTAGATACAACGAATATCTATAATAGGTTATTGGATTCTACTGTTATCTTAATTGTTATTAGTTCATGAGATGTTAATTAACAATAATATTTTAGCATGGATTATTTTTTTGTGATATTTGTGATATATATAAGATAAACATGTTAGAATATGTTGAATTTAGTTTTTATTGTCACGTGCTTGTTCATTACATAATTTTGAATTATTTATTACATGTGATGTAAATTAATTTAAGACTAAGCATGTAGACAACTTGAACTAAATTCACATGCTATAAAGATTTGATTTTCATGTTATTAAAAGTTATTTTAGTAAAAATTACCTCTCACTAAAATTTGAGTTCTTAAATAATAAATATAAGATATTTTATTATAGAGCTATCCATCAAAGTAAATAATTTTGTTTAATTCTTGTTTATAAGGAGCAGCCTGACTACCAGGAGACTTATAGTTCGAGAATATGTTAAAATTATTTATTGCATTAGATGTATGGATTGAAAGAATAATTCAATTTTTTACTAGACGCCTACCTTTAAAATATATATGAGAAACGACTTGACTTCCAAGAGGCTTATACATATTGTTAAAGGATTCCTTTTTATCCACTAACAGAAATAATGATTTCGTAAACTATAATGAGGGAAAATAGTTTAAAATTTATTAGTGGAAATATCATTTAGATAAAAGTCCATGTCTTTATGATATATGCAAATATGTTCTTATATTATTGCTTTTTCTTTTCTATATTTTAGATTTCTCAATATGACAGTCATATCACTGCGTGGAATACTTGAGACCAACAAGTTGGTAGGACCAAACTTCGATGATTGGTACAGAAATTTGAGAATTGTTCTCATGCATGGAAAACTTATTGATGTGATCGATAAGCCTGCCAAAGAAGTCCCAAAAGAGAATGATGAAGATGCCACCAAGATTTATCAGAAATACTTGGAAGAATGTCTTACTATCAAATGCATCATTCTCGCTTCGAAGAATTCTGAACTACAGAGGAAACATCAAGATATGGATCTAACTGCAATCATTGAACATCTTCAGAAGATGTTTGGTACACAAAGCAGGACAGCAAGATACCAGCTATCTAAGGCTTTATTTGGATCCAAATTGACTGGAAACTCTCCAGTTGGACCCTATGTCAATCGTATGATTGATCTTATTGAAGAACTTGAGAAGTTGGGGTGCAAATTGGGTAAAGAGCTTTCTCAAGATTTGATCTTATAGTCACTCTCTGAAATCTTTTCACAATTTGTTATTAATTTTAATATGCATAAAATGGATTGTGATCTTCATGAGATGCTTAACATGCTGATTGATTATGAGAATCAACTTGCATCTGAGAAGAAGAAAGGAACTGTCATGTTGGTTGGAAACCCTTCTAAGAAGAAGGGTAAGGGTAAAAATAAAGAAACTAATGTTGAATGTTTCCATTGTAAGAAGATAGGACATTGAAAAAGAAACTTCCCGGAGTATCTTGCAACTCTAAATGATAAGAAACAAGGTAAGACTTAATTGAAAAATATTTTCAAAGTTTCTTTAACTACTATTGATGTTTCATTATGGGTATAGATACTGGCAGTGGTTATAACATTTGCAATATGTTGCAGGGGTTCCAACTAAGTAGAAGGTTGAAGAAAGGAGAAATTAATCTACAAGTTGGAAATGGTGCAAAAGTTGCGGCCATAGCTGTAGGATCAATTTCTTTAATAATGCCTACGGGCAAAGTACTTATGTTGGACGATTGTTATTACGTTTTTGTTTCGAACATAATTTCACCTTCTATATTAGATAAACGTGGTTTTCACATAAATATAGGCAATGGTATTTGTTCAATTTATTATGGTGATAATTTATATGTGAATGGCTATCTTCAACATGATGTTTATGTCTTACCTAATGTGTGCTAATTCAATTATGCATGTTTCAAGTCTTAAGAGAAAAGGAGATGATCAAGTAAATCATACATATCTTTGGCATTGTTGACTTGGTCATATTTGAGAGAAAAGAATTAACAAGTTTTACAAGGAAGGGTACCTTGACAAATATGATTTTGAATCATATCCAACTTGTGAATCTTGTCTCAAAGGAAAAATGACCAAATCTCCATTTACTGGAAATGGAGAAAGAGCTCCTGAATTATTGGGACTAATTCATACAGATGTTTATGGGACCATGAAAATTCAAGCTAGAGGTGGATATTCTTTCTTCATCACTTTCACTGATGATATGTCAAGATATGGATTTGTGTATCTTATGAAACACAAATTCGAATCTTTTGAAATGTTCAAAAGGTTCCGTAGTGAAGTTGAGAAACATACAGGTAAAAGTATCAAGGTACTAAGGTCTGATAGAGGTGGAGAATATCTTAGTAAAGTTTTTACTAAGTATATCAAAGAGAATGTGATTCTCTCACAGTGGACACCTCCAGGAACACCACAACATAATGGTGTGTCTGAAAGGAGAAATCGAACCTTATTAGATATGGTGAGATCTATGATGGGGTTCACTGATCTTCCAATAAATTTGTGGGGATATGCTTTGGAAGCAGCAACGTACTTACTAAATAAAGTTCCCACTAAGTCAGTCTCTACAATACCATATGAGACATCGAAAGGATGTAAGCCTAACCTTAAACATATTAAAGTTTGGGGTTGTCCAGCTTACGTTAAGAGAATGCAGTCTGATAAACTTGACTCAAGATCTGATAAATGTCGGTTCATTAGATATCCCAAAGAAACAATGTGGTATTATTTCTATTACCCTTCTGACCATAAAGTGTTTGTGGCAAGAGGAGCAACCTTTTTGGAAAGGGAATTTCTTTTAGAAGGAAATTATGATGGAGAAATATAACTTAATGAAGTTCAAGAAACTAATGAATCAACACAATATAAAGATTATGAGACCAAAGTTGAAGAACCTTTATTGGAAGTTTTGAAGTTGCCATCTTCAACGGTTGAAGTTTAAGAACTAAATGTAGTTCAAGAACAGGCTAATGAACCAGTTCCAAACCAAATTGAACACCAACCAAATCCAGCACAAGGTGAACTGGTTGTACAAGTACCTCTTAGAAGGTCTACACGAGAACGTCATATACCAACTAGATTAAATCTAATGGTACAAGATGATGTATCAAATGAGGTTAATCATAATGATGATGACCCAAAGACCTATGCAGAGGCTATACAAAGTTCTGATTATGAGAAATGGCAAAAGGCCATGGAATCCGAAATGGAATCCATGAAGGAAAATAAAGTAGGGACTTTAGTTGAACCTTCAAAGGATATAAAACCTATAGGTTGTAAATGGATTTTTAAGAAAAAGATTGGAGCAGACGGAAAGGTGGAGACCTACAAAGCCCATCTTGTTGCCAAGGGATATCGGCAGAAAGAAGGAGTCAACTATGACGAAACTTTCTCTCCCGTGGCAATGCTCAAAACAATTCGGATTTTGCTTGCTATAGCAGCATACTATGATTATGAAATATGGCAAATGGATGTGAAAACAGCTTTCCTTAATGGTGAGCTAGAAGAGGATGTGTACATGACACAACCTGAAGGTTTCACATCTTCGTCTGATCATAATAAAATTTGCAAGCTACAAAGATTCATTTATGGACTAAAGCAAGCTTCTCGAAGTTGGAATATTCGCTTTAACAAGACAATTGAAAAGTTCAATTTTGTTAGATGCGAAGCAGAACCTTGTGTGTACAAAAAGGTTAGTGGGAGCACAATTATATTCTTAGTGTTGTATGTTGATGACATATTGCTCATAGGGAATGATATACCGGCATTGCAAAGTACCAAGATTTGGCTATCTGAACAGTTCTCCATGAAAGACTTGGGAGAAGCAGCTTATATATTAGGAATAATGATCTATAGAGATAGATCTAGGAAGCTGCTTGGACTTTCCCAGTCTTTGTACATTGATACCATCATAAAGAGGTATAATATGGATAATTCCAAAAGAGGCTATCTACCGATAGGCACTGGAATTACTCTTAGTAGGGAGGATTGTCCTAAAACACCTGAAGAGAGAGAACGCATGAGTAGGATCCCATACGCTAGTGCAGTGGGAGCTATCATGTATACCATGACATGTACACGTCCTGATGTGGCTTATGCACTTGGAGTGACTAGCCGTTATCAGGCAAATTTTGCGAGGAACATTGGAAGGTGGTGAAGACCATTCTTAAGTACTTAAGAAGGACTAAAGACCAATTCCTCATCTATGGAGATTCTGAGTTGAAACTTGAAGGTTATACTGATGCAAGTTTCTCTTCAGATAGAGATGATAGCAAATCTATTTCTGGTTATGTATTCACCTTAAACGATGGTGCAGTGAGTTGGAAAAGTTCCTAACAAGCTACAGTAGCTGATTTAGTGACTGAAGCAGAATATATAGCAGCTAGTGAAGCTGCTAAGGAAGCTGTATGGATGAAAAAGTTCTTAACTGAACTTGGTGTGGTTCCTTCAACAGAAGGTGCGGTTCCACTGTTGTGTGACAATACTGGAGCCATTGCTCAAGCAAAAGAACCAAGATCACACCAAAAGTCCAAACACGTTCTGCGATGGTATCACTTGATAAGAGAGATCATTGAACGTAGAGACGTGGAGATTCAAAAAGTTGATGGAAAGGAAAATGCAGCAGACCCATTCACTAAAGCTCTTGGTGCAAAGGAGTTTGACAAGCACAAGTGGAAATTGGGGATGAAGTACAAGAGCGATTGGCTCTAGTGCAAGTGGGAGATTGTTAGGGATATAGTATATATGCCCTAGATCCAATATCATATTTGATGATTTGAACATATTTTTTGTGAAGGTTATTTGATATAAAATATATATCGCATTTGATATTCTTTTATCATAGTTATTATTAATTTTTTGATTAACTTGATAAGGTCCTTGATTAAATTGTGAGATTTGACATTGTGATGGAGATCATGATAATGAGAGTCAAGTTTCTTATAATTTAATCTAAATTTGTTCTTGATCGTAGAATTATTATTAATTTGGACATTGGTAATCTGGTAAGATCAATATTTATGTGATCGTCTTTATTGGATAAAGATTAGTTTATCTCATTAACTAATTCGCATAGATAGATGATGCATATAAAGATATGATCATTGAACCGACTCATTGGATAATTCCTAATGGTTAGAATTACCATAAACTGTCAATAGGATATTCTCTTGAAGAATGTGATGTAAGAATTTCCTTTGACCTGATATCGTCATAGTAATTGAAAAGTTATTTACTGTGCTTTGATACTAGACACCTATGGCCCTAGGGCGATAGTTGAAAGGATATTGGGTACAGTTAAATACTTGTAGAATTAGTAATTGATCCAAGGTAGAATCTGTCAACTCTTGGTAATGAGTTTAAGCTTCATGTTGTCATGAATTATAAACGAACAAACTAAGACCTTGGTCAGGGCAATTGAATGAAAGAAGAAATGAGTTTCTTAGGTCATTCAATGGTCGATTATATTTGACATGAACACATAGTTGGTCGCCTATTTGGATTTGACAGTTGAACCATATCCTAGGGTGATCCAGAGCTATAAGGACAGAAGGAATTACTACATTATTCTTCTACTGGTTCTTGAGAGTAAATTGTATACTTCATTCTATCCGGTCGTTAAGGAGTGTTGCTAGACGCCACCCTTGATTAGTATATTGATGTGATCAATTTACTACCGGCTTAGTAATGAACCTATGGGGTCGCACGCTAACGAGTGTTCTGATCATTGCAAAAGGATTAATTACTTTATTATTTGATAATTAAATTAAGGAATTTAATTAGTCAAATAAATTTAGCTATTAGTCCAAATAAAATATTATTATATTCTTTGCTAGCACAGAGGATATAATTAATATTGTGAATAAATTAAAGTTTTTATTTGGACAGAAAATTAAATTGTATCTCTTGGTTGAAATATCTATATAAGATATATATAATTAATATTTGTGTATATAAGGTGTATATATATACAATATTAATGAAGAACACTTGATCCAATTTTGATTGGACATGGAATTTCATGAAAGAATTCTTACGGAAGAATTCAATTCAAACTCCTCAAGATCTTGGAAGATTCATCTCATTTAGAATATGATATATTTTTCAATGGAAAACTTTTACAAAGTTAATAAAGGAAGTTTGTCATACTCATTCCGTTTAGAATGGGTTATATTTTTCAATGGAAAACTTTTACAAAGTTAATAAAGGAAGTTTGTCATATTCATTCCATTTAGAATGGGATATATTTTTCAATGGAATTTTTTTACAAAGTTAATAAAGAAAGTTTGTCATATTGATTCCACTTAGAATGGGATATATTTTTAAATGGATTCAATTTTTATATTAAAAGACTTAGTCTTGATTTAGAATTGGAAGACATTCCATTGCAGTAGCAAAACTCTTAATTCTTCCACATTTTTCATCTTCCATTTTTGAAGTGAAAAATAAAAGGTTTGAGAAGCCATAAAAATCAAGAGAAAAACATTCTTGACAATAATAGTTCTTGTCATGTAACATTAAGTTGAGATTTTTTAGAAAAATTTCAGCACAATATTTTTGTTCAATTTGTTCACAGGTTTTCATTGATCAAAGAGTTGATAGCAAGGATCGGTCTCGGTGTGGATACGCATAGAGTCTTCGCACTATCGAAGAAAATTTTAAACAAGGCTCTCTTCACCAAGTACGTCTTAGATCCGATCTTTGACAGGTAAATAATTTTTAAACACGAAGAGTTCTGCCTAGGATTGTTATTATATTCCGCTGCGTGTTACGAACACATATAAGCAATCCTACACTAAAAACGTAGGATCTCTGTCACTTACGTCTTAGATCCGATCTTTGACAGGTAAATAATTTTTAAACACGAAGAGTTCTGCCTAGGATTGTTATTATATTCCGCTGCGTGTTACGAACACATATAAGCAATCCTACACTAAAAACGTAGGATCTCTGTCACTTAGAAGATAAAGTTATTCTTTTAACCTTTGTTTTCTACACACTTCAAAGGTAGAATCTATATGTTGTCTTCAGAGATAAAGTGATATATAAGTATTTCTTTAATGTTTCAACTTTAAATATATCACGGTGTTATAACTTGTGCGACTCAACACTTGAAGATTTACCGTTAGATATTCATTGGTCAACGTTAGTTTCAAGTGTGTGGAAAATAATATCGAATAATATATCTCCGCAACTAAAAAAATGTTTACGTTGAACCGAAAATGATCAAAAATACCCCTAAACTATTGAAAAAAGTTTTAAAATATCCTTCATTCACCTATTGAGCTAAAAATATCCCTCCATCCACCTTTTTTGTTCACTTATGCCCTTTGCCCGTTAAGTCAATGCTGAATTAAAAATAATAATTATTTAAATTCCACGTGGCAATTTCTTATTGGCCAAAATTAAACATCTAACACATTAGAAAGACCCACACATATCTACTAGTTTTTCGTACTAACTCGCTTTAAATACTAACCCGACCCAAACAAAAAATTCAATTAAAAAAAGGTCCCAAAATCACCAAAACCGTGACATAAAAAGTTATATAATTCCAAAATCTACAAGGTATATCACTACCAACTCATCTCTACATCAAGTGAGCTCCAAGAAGATTGATATTTTTCACCAAGTGTTTCAAACTGGGGTGTCTTTTTTTTTTTTGAACTTTTTATTCGGGTCAGGTTAGTGTTGGGGCGGGTTAGTCCGGTAAACGGGTAGATATGGGTGGGTCTTTCTAATAGGTTAGATGTTTTAATTTCGACGGCAAAATACATAGTTTACACATCCACCTTGCACTCAAATCCCTGTTACACACCTGTTGACCACGAGTATAACTTTACACACCAAACCTTTCAAATGTGTGTCAATTACACACTACTTTTGACCAGCCCCATTAATATTCAATGTTGTGTATACACGCGCTTATTTAATTTAAAAAACAAACGATTCTTTAATTAAAATGGACAACCCGACCCTTTCTTTAATCCCGACCCAAAAAAGATCCAACCCTGTCCATTAAAAACAACTCCGCGACCAGATTAACAAACATAATTCCATGTCACCAAGATGTTCTTCAGCCCTAACCTTTGAAGAGAATCCGACGAGAACACATCTGCTCTTTGTTGCTGTTACTTTCGTCATTTTCAGGTTAATATTCTCATTTTAGGTTGTTCAACCATTTTGATTTAGATGGGTGGGTCGAAATAGTTAGGGTTTATTTGGGTATTTCGTCAGGAGTATTTTTAGGGTTTAAGACATCTTTATAGGGAATCTCTTATCATTGTCTAATGAAATCTTTGGCTTTTGAGCTTGTGTTGTCTTTTTCTTTCTGTATTCTGTTATGTCTTTCTTTATTCTCCATTTTGATTTTTTTACTCTTTGTTTGCAAATGAAATTGAAACCTGTTGTCTGCTTTATTCAGGGACAATGTCTTTTAAAATTATTACTTTAAAGTGGTATCATGGGGGTGGGTTAATTATTGGTCCTTTTAGTAAATATGTGGGGGGCAGTCAAATCATGACTTTAGACGTGGATGTAGATATGATTTCCTTCTTTGAGCTTATGGATTACACTAGGGAGATGGGCCTAACTAACGTGATTGAGCTGTATATATGCCCGATGGATAGGAATGACAAGCTGGTAAATGTATTGACTGATAAGGATATTTTAGACATTTGCAATCAGTTAGAGGATGGGGATACACTAGAAATATATGTGACTCATGCTGCCCCTTTATCAGTACATGACCCTGGTTAAAAGGGGGAAAGTGTGAGTTGTAGTAAGGCTTCTAGAAGAAGGCCTATAGAGGTCCAAGAGGTTGAAGAGAGGTAGATAAAGATTCTGATGACATACACTGGACTTTAGAAAGTTCTGCTGCTTCCAAATCTTCTACTTCTGATGATGCTGCTACTGATGCTGCTGGAAATGAAGGAAAAGTAGACATAGACTGGACTTCTGATAGTTCATATGAAGTTGACTTAAATGTACCTGATGAGAATGACCTCTAATCTGATATTCATGAGGAGTTGGGTGAAGGTAGAGAGAAGGTGAAGAGAAGCAGGAGAAAAAGAAGTGAAAAGCCTAAAGGGAGGGGTGATATAAACATAGATAAAGCAGGTGTAGACATTGGGTTTGATGAGCTGCGTACAGGTAGTAAGCAAAATAGGTATGAAGGTCTAGTTGGGACTGATGAGCCGTACGTTGGTTCTTTAGATGCTGAAAGCTTTGCATCAGATGTGGAAGGTGAAGATGCTGAAGAACATAAGAGGAAAATGGAGGAAAAAATAAAAAGAAGAGATTCATCTTTGATCCTACTGCCAAGAAAATAACTTGGGAGTTAGGCTTGATATTTGAAAATGTTGATGAGTTTAGGGAAGCGGTCACCAAATATGCAATTCAAAAATGGGTGCAGATTGAGAACTGCATAAATGAGCCACATTGGGTGAGGGTTAAATGTATGGTACCTAAATGTGGATGGCTTCTAGCAGCTAGTAAAGATGGCAAATCCAATAATTTTAAGGTGAAAAGATATAATCCAGTGCACAAGTGTTATACAACCAACAAGAACAAGTTGTGTAATTCAAGATATCTTGCAAAAAGATACAAGAGCAAAATTATATCACAGCCAGGTATGAAGGTTTGGGAGTTGATAAAATTGATAAAGCAAGAACTGGACCTCTATGTAGGGAGATCAACTGCCCATAGGGCTAGAGCTAAGATATTGAAAGAAATCATTGGTGATGTGCATCAAGAGTTCAAAAGACTCTATGACTATAGAGATATGATTTTGCAGACCAATCTTGGGAGTACATGTGTGGTGAAAGCAGAAGATCAAGGTGATGAAAAACTGGTATTTTTTAAAATTTATGTTTGTTTACATGCCATGAAAAGGGGCTGGCCGGAAGGATGCAGAAGAATTATTGGCCTTGATGGATGTTTCTTGAAAGGAGTTTGCAAGGGATAACTTCTTGTAGCTGTCTCCAAAGATGGAAACAACCAGATGTTTCCAATTGCATGGGCAGTTGTAGAAGTGGAGAACACATTCAACTGGACTTGGTTTCTGAAATGTTTGAGTGAAGATTTGGGGTTGGAAGATGGAAGAGACCTTACAATGATGCCTGATATGCAGAAAGTAACTATTTTCCTTTAGTTTTTGTTCTCCTTCATTAACTATTGTTCTGTTCTCCTTCATTAACTATTGTTCTGTTCTGCCTCAGTAACTATTGTTCTGTTCTACTTCAGTAAATATTTTTCTATTTTTATGAATGCTGCAGGGTTTAATTAATATTGTAAGAGACTTGTTGCCTGAGTGTGAACACAGGATGTGTGCTAGGCACATCCTTGCAAATTGGTCAAAAGAGTAGAGAGGATTGGAGAGGAGAAATACTCTCTGGAGATGTGCAAGGGCTTCTAGTGTTGCATAATTGAATGACCAACTTGATATGCTAGACAAGCTTCGGGATGGCATATGTAAAAGTTTACTCCACTATAGAAAAGAAACCTGGTGCGGAGCTTATTTCAATTGCGATAGGAAGTGTGATATAGTTGAAAACAATATGTATGAGACTTTAAATTCCTGGATTTTGGTTGAAAGACGCAAGACAATCATCACAATGTTAGAGGAAATCAAAATTAAGCTGATGATTAGGATAAGTAAGATGAGAGAGTTCTGTGAGACATGGATATGTGATATCTCCCCAATAGCAATGAATGTTTATCAGGATAATTTATCTAAGTCTATGAAGTGTACTCCAAGATGGAATGGTGAAACAGGCTATGAGATTGAAGATCCTAAATACAAGCATGTGGTATCCTTAGTGAATATGACCTGTAGTTTCAGAGCTTGGCAGTTAAAAGGTATCCCCTGTTGTCATGCAATTGCTAGTATGCATTTCAAGGACATGGAACCTATTCACCACATTGCACACTGGTATCGTAATCCCACTTACTTGAAGGCTTATTCAACCTTTATCCGGCCTGTGCCATGTATGAAACAATGGCCATCTTCAGGCCACCCCCTATTGAACCTCCCCTATTAGAAACATGCCTAGCAGACAAAAAAAAAGGAAAAGAGAGAAAACTAAACATCCAAAATTTGGGAAGCTTTCAAGGAGAGGTATGGAGATGACTTGTTCCCTTTGTGGTGTGTTTGGACACAACAAGAGGGGATGCCCCAATAAAAAATCTGCTACTAGAAATGTTGCTGCTGGGAATGCTGCTGCTGGAAATGCTACTACTGGAAATGGCCGAGGAAGAGGAAGAAAAAGAGGAACTAGTAATACTACAACATCTAGTTCACAATCAGCAAGAGGTAGAGGTGTTTCTGCAATAGGTAGAGGGGTTGGAAGAGGTAGAGGCAGTGAAATTGGGTTGTTTCAAGCAAGGAATGAGTTCACTTCTTTTACTGTAAGTGAACTAACTTAAAGTATAATTAGTGTATCTTCCTTCTATTGAATGTAATATTGTAACTAAGTATACTGTATTTTGGCAGAGTGGAGGACAAAATCCAAGGGTCATTAGCACCGGAACTAAGACTAAGAGATCTACAGCTTCAACAGAGGAATGTGCTTACCAACCAAGAAGTACCGGCTTGAGGTGGATGGGCCAAAAAGCCATAAGCACAAGACAAATTCAAAGAAATGCAACATCACAACACAATCTTAGTCAAGCTAGTTCATCATCTCAACCAACGAAGAAGAAGAAAAAGAAATGAAGACTTTGGTGTTGCTTAAGCTTTATGTTTTGTTAAGTATTGCTATGGATAACAATGAGTTATGTTCTGTAAAGTGTTGCTATGTACAACCAAGTAAAGTGCTATGTTTTGTTAAGTGTTGCTATGGACAATAATGTAGTATGTTTTGTAAAGTGTTTTTATGGACAACCAAGTAAAGTGATATGTTTTGTAAAGTGTTGCTACGGTCAACCAAGTGCTATATTTTGTAAAGTGTTGCCAATCAGTTTTGGTGTCTGAAAATGAACACCTATTTTGTGGAATGAAGTATATTTAGGTCTTCTTTTTATACTGCTTTCCTTTGGTTATACAAAAGCTGCATTAGCCGTGATTGGTTGTTGTAAGCTAAATAAGAACATAACACAAGACAAGACTAACAAACTTTAATGACCTAAATAGGAATATAACACAAGAGCTTGAATACATCTCTAATAAAATAGGGGGTAACCCTCATAAACAACAACTTCAACGAGCCAAATGCATGAGGGACCCAATACATGAGAATATCATTACAATATATAGCAATCCTGAGAACTACCAAATACAATGGCCTTAAGGAAGATTAATCCTAAAATCAGAAAAAAAAATTCTCCTCCAGTTCCTCTGTTTTCTGGATTCCTGCAAATGCTCTTCAAATGGATTTTTCTTCTTAAGCAGAGCCAAAATCACCGGCTTCAAGTGTTCATGAGTCGGGGGGTCAAACCATGCGAAATACTTACAGCCAGTTTTCTTATATTTCTGCAAATCCATAAACAATTTGAGATGATGCTTATAAAATCTTGAAATAACGATTATAACAATCTAAGGTTACCTCATAATTTTTACAGCCGTAGAATCGACGACCAGGATTGTCTGTGCTCCATGAAATTACTAGTTCAGCTGCATCTCCACATATACAAAATGGACCCGAAATCTCCATTCAATATGAACCCTCATAAGAGAATTGATAGAAGAATAATAATGTATTGCACTTTAATTGAACAAATATAACCAGCTTCAAAATATTAGATGTGGAAGGTGAAGATGGGGGTTGGATTTTTCTGAAATTGGTTCCTTTTAATATGAAGAAGATGAAAATGGTTGCTTTTAATAAGAAGGAGATGAAGAATTGGGCATTAGGGTTAAGAAAATGGGCCTAATTCCAGTAATTGGCCGTTGTAATTTGTCAGGTGAGGCAGAAAATAACTTTTCACGCACTGCATTGGTCGTGTTTCACACGTCCTAGAGGCTGGTCAAAAATAATGTGTAATTGACACACATTTGAAAGGTTTGGTGTGTAAAGTTATACTCGTGGTCAACAGGTGTGTAACAGGAATTTGGGTGCAAGGTGGATGGGTAAACTATGTATTTTGCCTAATTTCGACCAATAAGAAGTTGTCATGTGTATTTAAATAATTATTTTTAAAATTCAGCATTAACCTAATGGTCAAAGGGTATAAGTGAACCAAAAAGGTAGATGGAGGGATATTTTTAGCCCAATAGGTGGATGAAGAGTATTTTTAGATATTTTTCAATAGTTCAGGGATATTTTTGACCTTTCTCTGTATGTTGAATCAATAAACACATAACGAGTGGTTTTCTCATAAATTTAGGGCAAAGGGTCAAATTTGTCTATCTACTATTGTTTATTGGTTGCTTGTGCCACCCGTTATATTTTTTGGCCATTCTCGTCCCTACTGTTAACAAAGTTTGCAAAATTACTCCTAACCCTAACGTCCCTCCACCGTGGCAGCTGACCCCTCTAATACTTTGTCCATGTCAGCAGTCAAGTCAGATGCCATATCATCAACCCCACCAAATTAAAACCCTAACATAAACGCCCACACTCCTCACCACTCCACCCTTTCTCTCATCTTCTCTCCCTCACCTCATACCAAAATCGTCGGAAACCATGGCATTTCGCCGGAAAATTTTCAGCGGGCAGAACTAACCTCCACAGACAGCAACCCCGTCCTCTGGCAAGAAATTTAAATCAACTCACACAGACAAAAATTGCCGATAAGATTAAAATCCATCAAAGTATTACAAAGTATTACTACCGTAGCGTTACTCAATGTAGCCATGTCAGATCTTGTTGGAAAACACCCATTTTTTGGCATAAAAAATATTTCTTCTCTTCATATCTTGCTTGATTTCTCTCATGGAACCATTGAAGAATTTGTAAATAAAGCTTGGGAATATACAGTGGGGGGGGGGGGGGGGGTTTTAGCAAATATTTCTTCTCTTTATATCTTTGTAAAGAATTTGGTTCTTCATTGTTTTACTGTGGATGAGAATGTGAAAAAAATGGAGGAGATACGGTAGGGGGGGGGGGTTTATGTAAAGAATATGGGTCTGTCAATTAATGGTGGTGTTAATGGTGGCTGGTTAGTACTGATTTGGGAGATGTATTTGAAAGGAGACTAAGATCACCATACAAAGGATTTGGAAAAGCTTGAAGAGTACCTAATAGGTCTGTCATGTTCTTCAGAAGTTGTTGAAGTTCATTTTATGTTACTTGAATATAGTGTTGAGGCTGAAAATTATTTATTAAATTATGATTTTGAAGCTATTTTGTAGTAAAATATTAAGGCTTTTGGGTGGTAAAGCTGCCGATGGAAGAAGAAATCGAAGGGGAAGAAAGGTATTGGAGGTGGTGAGGTTAATTATGTGGCATTTTTAATTGAGGGATCCTGTAACGACTTGACCGGTCGTTTTTAATAAGTACAATGTAACGACCTGACCGGTCGTTTTGAGCTTTTGCACTTTGATCGCCTGTTCTCGGGCATGACTTGCCCCGTGTTATGTACTATGACTAATGTAGATCGTTGGTTTTAGTTTTAGGAAAATTTGGAATGAATTGGAAAGAACAGTTTCAGTTGAAAGCTTTGAATTTGAAAGGTTTGACCAAGAGTTGACTTATTTGTATATGAGCTCGGATCGGAGTTTATATGATTTGGTTAGTTTCGTTAGGTGATTTGTGACTTAGGAGCGTGATCGAAATTAGTTTTGGAGGTCCGGTGTAGAATTAGGCTTGAATTGGCGAAGTTAGTATTTAGGCGATTTCTGGTTGGTAGGCGAGATTTTGATCCGGGAGTCGGAATGGAATTCCGAGAGTTGCTGTAGCTTCGTTATGTGATTCGTGATGTGTGCGCAAAATTTAGGTCATTTAGACGTCGTTTGGTTGGGTTTTTTCTCAAATGCGTGCTTCGGAAGTATTAGGAAACTTAGGCTTGAATTCGATGTGAATTGATAGTTTTGGTGTTGTTTGAGGTGTTTTGGTGATTGGAACAAGTTTGAATGAGGTTTTAGGATGTGTTGGTATTTTTTGTTGAGGACCCGGGGGCCTCGGGGTGATTTCGGATGGCTATCGGGATGAGTTTTGGACTAGTGCAAATTGCAGGCCTGCTGCTTCTGGTATTTCCGCTTCTGCGGAATTGGAACCGCAGAAGCGGTATCGCATATGCGGCGTGGGAGTCGTGGAAGCGGAAAAGGGACAGGCTAGGCTGGACCGCAGATGCGGAGTGGGGACCGCATCTGCGGAGTCGCAGATGCGACTTTTAGACCGCAGATGCGGCCTGGGTGTTAAGTTATTTTCCGTAGAAGCGGAGGGAGTAGTCGCAGAAGCGGTAGTCGCAGAAGCGAAAGGATGACCGCAGAAGCGGTAATGTCTGGGCAGAATATTTAATTGGTCTTCTTCACGAATTTTTAAGGGTTCTTCAGTTCTAACCTCGGACTTAGAGGATTGTGGGCGATTTTGAAGACAGAACTCAAGGGGTTTCGATAAAGAATTTACTCTTGAACTTAAAACACGATTTTATGGTGTAAATACATAGATTAGAGCTGAAAACTCAAGTAATTAATGGGCAAAAATGGTGGTTTAGGGCTTGAAAGTTAAGGGAACAAAAATTGGGAATTTTGGGGTCATTTGGACTCCGATTTTGGTATTCTTTATATGTGTAGACTCGCGGCGAGATAAGAAATCCGTTGGTGTAAGAATTTCTGAGTTTCGAGAAGTGGGCCCGGGCTCGAGTTTTGCTAATTTTGAGATTCGTGATATTTTTTGATTGTTTTCGATTGGGTATTGTCTCCTTGGCATATTGTGACGTATTCGTTGTGGTTTTGATCAGATTCGACGCGCGAGGAGGTCGATTGCGAGGCAAGGGCATAGAGAGCTAGGGTTTTGGCCGGTTTGAGGTAAGTAATGATTGTAAGTGCTGTTCTGAGGGTTTGAAACCCCGGATTACACATCGTTGTGTTACTTTGCGGTGACTTACACGCTAGATAACGAGCGTGGGGTAGAGCACTGCCGGGGATTGTGACCTAGTCCTTCCCGAACGAGTACTTTATATGCGTATTTGATAGTTAATTGTTTGATGTCATTATATTTTGGGCTGTGTGCCATGTTTGGGGCCTTGTTCCAACTTGTTGAGACCCTTAAGGGCATTTTTACTATCTATCCTCACTCTACTTGTTTGAAAGCATATCCTCAGTCATGTTTTACCTAGTTATTACTCAAATCTAGCTTTATCACTATATTCTTAAGAATGTGGAAACTATTTTGGGCTGAGCTCCCTATTTTACTGATGGTCCGAGCGATCGTAAGATGATGACTGAGGTAGAACGAGGGTCTGGTTGTGAGATTGATGATTGAGATAGACTGAGAGTCTGAGGGTGAGATTAATGACTGAGAGAGGCCGAGGGCCTAGTTGTGAGGATTATATATCCATGGATCGGGCTGCACGCCGCAGCGATACTTATATGGATCGGGCTATACGCCGCAGCAATATTGCGCTTGGGCTGTAGGAGCCCCTCCGGAGTCTGCACCCCCACAGTGAGCGCGGGTACCCATATGGATCGGGCTGCACGCCGCAGCGGTTACTATATGGTACCTATTGAGCGTGAATGCTAAGTACGAGTTCTGATGGTAAGAGTTGAGTCACGAGTCTGAGAGGCTAGCCCGAGGGGTGATAATTATATACATGCATATGAGTGATGTTTGCCTGAGAGGCCTGTTTATGAACTTGTTGATTTCACTCCTCTTTAAAGTGAGTTTCTATCGAATATGTTGATTTATATACTATTTTCACTCATCTTTATATTGAGCCTCTGTCGGAAAGTTAAACAAATGATTTAAAACAACCTTTATTTAAACTGGAGGTTATGAGATGTTCAGAAATTAATCACTGATTTGGCA